TTCGAGCGGGATTTCCCAAAGACAACAGGGCCAAGCTTTATGCCGGCCCAGCTCGAGACGCAGCTGACGAGCACGACGACGGAGACGAGAAGGTGGAACAGCTGCAGGCAGTACGACACGCCCCAGCCTCCGGCGTTTTCGGCGGTGAGAGGAATCGTCGACCCGTTCAAGACGGTGCCTGTGTGGACGTGTGAGGGCGACGACGAACCCGAAGAAGATGAGAAAGAAGTGATCGGGGAATTGAAGAAGGAGAAGAGGGCGAATGTCGCGAGAAGGTACTGCTGTGCGCCCTGTGGCTGCTGTACCGGTACCTGCTCCTGCTCCTGCTCCGTCGAAACCGTGGGTGGTGGCGGGACAGGTGGAGGGACGACCTTCCTCGGGCGCCCACGCTTGCGCTTTTCAGCCACCGTCCCGTCCGGGCCCAACGCGACTTTCTTCTCCTTCTTCTCGACCTTGACCTGTGGTGCCGACGAGGAGGAAGGAGACACCTTCCCTCTCTTCCTCTTCCTGCCTCCTTCCTCTTCCTCATCACCTTCCTCCTCTGAATCCTCATCATCCGCCTCAGGCTCAATCTCACCCTCAACCTCATCCTTCTCCTCCCCCCCAAACATCTCCTTCCACTCCCTCTCCCACTCCCTTAACAGCGCAGGGCCGCCTACAAGCCCCGAAATCAGACTCTTCAGCCCCACCTGCTCATTCTTCAGCCTCGCCTCGCGCTTCTTCAGCACACGGATATACTCCACTGCTTTGCCAAGCACATTTGCCTTGCTGCACTTCCGCGCGACCTTGACGCCGTCAACGAACCCACGCTCGTCCACAACGTCCTCGCCCATAGTGTACGACCGGAGCGGGTCGGCTGAGACGAGCACCTTGTTCGGCGCACGTTTTTTGCTGCCATCGCGATCGTCGACGACGCGCAAGGCGGGCACGGCCATGCGCAAGCTCTGAATGCGCGCGTTGAGGTTCGTGCGGTAGCGCCGCTCGATGGTGGTATGGCTTGTCTTGGACCGGGGTTGAGGACCCGAAGGGGAACTCGGGGTGGCAGCTATTGCGGGCGGTGGGGAGGGCGTGGTGGGGGGTGGGGTTGAGGCGGCGGAGGTGGTGGTGGAATTGGCTATGGATTGGGAGGCGTGGCGTGGGAGACGGGGAATGGGCAGTTTGGGCATCGCAGTAGAGGTATTGGGAGCTGTGGAGTTTATTTTTTATAGTTAGTTGGAGGACGGCGAGTATTGAATGAGACTGTACCCGTGTTTTCAGTTTGCTGGGGGCTTTCAAAAGCCTGCAGTTGTGCTGTCATAGGGAGAGCAAGCATCACTCCGGCTGATTGGCGGACCCGTTCTGCTAACAGGGTTGCTGCGTCAGAGGATGTGCTCGTTGTGCTTGTTGGCTGCTCAGTGGCAGGGGGCTGGTTGGGAACAAGATTTGCGGCGACCGGGCTGGGAAGCGATTCTGGAGCAGGCGATAAAGATGCGCCAGACGATGACACCGACGAGGAAATGCTCAGTCTCCGCCCGCTCGAGCTTGATGACGACTGCATAGAGGAAGAGTCCGAAGGTGAACTCGGGTCGTGATGGACCTGGAATGTAAAAGGAAACTGAGTCGAAGAGAATTCGTCCATATACGACGGAATATGAGCGTCAAATGCATAGTGGGGGCTGAAATTGTTGTTGTATTGCAGCGCACTGGGATCAACAGCGATTGCGTTCATGTAGTCTATGTCCATCGGTAACGACGACAGGTCGTTGAAATCTATCGCTCCGTAGGGCTTCATCTGAGCACTGAAATCAGTCTCTGGCCACATGGACGATGTCTGGTTGAATTCCGCTGCTCCGGATTCGTCCATTGGAGAAGGGTTATTGAGGAGAAAGTTGAGCGGGTCGGCTGGATCGAGAGTAGGGTCTGAGGCCGTCAAGCAAGGCGACAGCGGCTCTGCACTGGACGACGGCGGGGACGGCGAGGAAAAGGCCATGGCGGGCGCAGAGATGATAGCGGAAGACAAGTTTGAATTTCGGCCTAGTAGTGGCCTGACTTGACATCAGGCCATTTATTTCCGCACGTGACTCGACGCGCGCGCCGATCTCCGTTTTTGCTCCAAGTCGTTCGTTTGCCTGGAGAAATGTCTTCTTGAGCACGAAAAGTAGCAAAAATGCAAAAGACTGGCAATTTGGGATGATAGATGCTCTGCCGAGGTTCAGACAATTTTTCTTATGTAACCATCAAATGCCGCGGTTGTTAGTATCACTGACCTGCTGCATGTCCTTGCACGGCAATGTCAATAAGCAAGTCCATTTATACAGCTCCTACTGCGTTCATACTGACCACTGCGCCACAGACTTTAGTCTGTTTGGAGGTGCAGACTCTCTGACCGAGGGAAAGCGGACACCGCGACGCACGTTCGCAAAGGGCGAGACCGATGCCAGCGTGTACTCGGCTTCTCCTCAGGACCCCTCCGACTTTCTCTGGCTCATGACAGAGGAGCCCCACCGCACGCGGCGCATGGCCATCATGAAGGCCCATCCTGACGTTCGTGTCTCTCTCTCACGCGCAGCGACCGATAGCTAACGCTCCCTCCAGGTCACGAAACTCATGGGCTACGAGCCCCTCACGAAATACCTCGTCCTCGCCGTCGTCATCCTCCAGTTCACCGCCGCCCTCCTCCTCCGGCACACCCATCCCCTCTCATTTACCTTCCTCTTCTGCGCGTACGTCGTTGGCGGAACAGCGAACCACAACCTCTTCCTCGCCATCCACGAGATAACACACAACCTCGCGTTCCCCGGTGTCGCCCCCAACCGCCTCCTCGCCATCTTTGCCAACCTCCCCATCGGCATACCCTACTCTGCCGCGTTCAAGGGGTACCATATTGAGCACCACAAATTCTTGGGCCAGGACGGCATCGACACCGATCTCCCCACGCGCCTCGAGCTTCTATGTCTTAACAACGTCCTCGGAAAAGTCTTTTTCGCGTATGTCTCTCCCCTCCTTCCTGCCTTTGAATAAAGACCTAACTCCGCTACCCAGAACATTCCAGATATTCTTCTACGCCCTCCGCCCCGGCTTCGTCCGCGCCCAACGCCTCACAAAATGGCACATCCTCAACCTCCTCGCCTCTCTCCTCTTCGACTCCATCCTCGTCCGCACCTTTGGCGTCCGCCCGCTCATCTACCTCCTCATGAGCAGCTTCTTCGCGGGGAGCCTCCATCCGTGCGCGGGACACTTTATCGCCGAGCATTATCTATGGGACGGCATGGACCAAGAGACGTTCAGCTATTATGGCCCGTTGAATTTGCTCGCTTATAATGTACGTCTTGTCCGCGAAATGTCGATTGGCTTGACCCCGATATTTATACACCGCACAGGTTGGATACCACAACGAGCACCACGATTTCCCCTCGATACCCTGGACACGTCTTCCCGCACTCCGTGCGCTCGCACCAGAGTTCTACGATGTCCTGCCCGCGCACCCGTCGTGGCCTATGGTTATTGTCAATTTTATCCGCGATAAAGAGGTCGGGATTTTTGCGCGCGCGAAGAGGCTTGCGAAGAATGCAAGTGGGAAGGCTGAGATGATAGAGAAGGTGAGGGTGAAGGAAGAGGAGGATAAGAGCGATTGATTGACATGCGTGCCTTGATACGTGTTTGTTGAATTGAGAGTACTGACTTCTCTTTGTTTAATGGGTGTCTTGTAAACGTGACTTGCATGAAGATCTCGTGTTGATGCTTCAATCCCGTTGATTGTCTGATCTCTCTCGTCCGTTCGACCAAACACCCGTGAGTTCTCTAGCCGCAGATGTTTGCTACTCGCCTCTCGTTCTCGCCGGCAAAGACACAATGAAAGTCCTCTGATGCATGTTGTCAAGAAATCACCTTGTTGATACTTACCACGACTTACGATTTTGTTACCCGTTACGTTCCTTTGTTGGGTATTCCTATGCTGTAGGTAATCACGGTGGAGTACGCGTGATCAAGTCCCGTTCCATCTCCCTGCAAGACCCTATCATTGAGCTCAGCAACAAAGTGTCTTCGCTTTCCCCCATGATCTTGTCAGGCTGATCACTTCGGGGAGACGGGGATTTTGCGCATGCGAGGCTTGCAAAGAATAGGGATGTGGAGGTCGAGAAGATTGAGAAGGTAAAGCGAGATGAGTGTGAGACTGTTGCCGGTGAATTGAGACACAATCGAACATCACCCTTGAGCGGCATCTGCGCAACCATAGTCAGTGTATCTGAGTGGATGACTTTGTAAAACTAGGGCTGCTGCCTGCATCGGGCCATGGTGGTAGCAATTTAATTCGCTTGTTAAGAGCGTACCCCCAAGTACGGTTGTTTCTTGCATCCGGCGGTCACTTCGAGTCAGGTAGTCTCATGGGGCACTCGCATTTGAGCCAACGACGATCTAGACTGACGGCCGGGCGCTAGCGCTAGCGACCGATATATATGTGCCAATTCTGAAGCTCCTTTCCTGAGGTCTTTTGGCAGCCTAGGCCAGGGGCCTTTCTAAACAACGCTTTCTTCTCACCGTAAATGGTCAACTACGGCGTGAGTATGTAGAGCATCAACTCGGAGTGTAGCCATCCAGTCGTCTCTTGCAAATTAAGTGGTATCCCAGTGTTTGACCCATTTGATGAATGTTACGAGATTGGTTCGCCCTCGTCGGCCATTACCATCTTCCGTGAGAGTGGATGGTTATCACAGAAAAGTCAGTAAGAGATTCATCATAGTGATCATAGTCAATGGTTGGAACAGTCTTCGGGGAAAATATGATTGTCAACTTGACCAAGACCTCCAAATATGTAGAAAGATTTTATTTGCCGAAACTTGTCCAGCTAGAAGATAAACAAACTTATGAACTTGAATGGTAGACGTCTTGATTTGTCTTGTAGGGTATTGAAGAACATTTGACTTAGTAGCCCATCCTCATGAGCACTCATTGTGACACGGTGAGAATGTGGCGCAATGATACTTGACTTTATAGCCTAGGATGAAAAAGGAACAAAACATTGCATCAGCCGGGAGTCGAACCCGGAGCTAGGCCAATACAACCAATGTTTGATGGTACATGGGAAGACCCAATGTTACCGCTACACCACTGATGCTTGCATATAATTACCTCAAAACTCTCTAACCCAGGATCTATGGGAAAATACTTCAGCCGTACTCGGTCCTCAGTCCCGAATCACGTCGCGCGTCGAGACACGTGACATTTGACAACCTACACAAGTTTGCTCTTGTACTAGCGCCTACTGAAACTATTTTCGAAACCTTGAAAACCCTTATTGTTGCTAGACAACCAAAACAAATGTCATGTGGTCATTTTTTATGGATCAGATAGATGCCAGCCTGGCAGCCTTGAGCACAGCCCTCTTCGACTTGCGTGTATCTAACAGCTCTGCCAGCGACCATTCATCTTTCCGGCGACTGGTGGGCAATGGACGCCACTTACACATAGGCCAAGTACTCTTCATTACCGATAATCTCGTATCAATCGTTGGCTTAGCGGACGTTTGTGGTCCAGAACATTCTTGTTTCTATCCTGACCATGTGCATTGTGCTATCAATCACTGTCTATGGGCGGCTCCGAGTGTTCTCACAGCCCTTCGAGTCACTAACAAGCGTCTACCGCGACTTTGTCCGCCTGTCTGTATATGGAACTCGGATCTGTCAAGGCTCCTACTTATAAGGTGCAAGATTCTCACCCCGGGCCGTTACACTAGGTCTGGCTTCTCCCATAATAAACTCTAATTGTATACCACCACCATCTCATTCGCGTCTTTATGCCGTACGTACACCTCGATACACCCGTAGGACCCCTCGAGCTACACTACTCGATTGCGACACCTACCAATCCTTCTAGCACCTCCATCGTACCGCAACTGCAATGTATCCTATTCCTTCATTCTGGATACTCTGGTCACGAAGCGTTCGAATGTACGACTCCTCTCATCCTCGACGCGTAACAATGACACTGAGGTCTTGACAGCTCAGTTCTGCGATCCACGACTGAGACACCGATTCAATCTGATCGGCGTCGACATGCGAGGGTATGGCCTCACTAAAGGTCACATAGTGCAAGAGGAGTACTGTCCCGCTGATTCAGCAGACGACATCTACCGATTCCTCGTGAGTAACACTGAAACGCCGCATGCTTTTTTCCATTTCGCGGTCTATCGGCCGCCGCACCAGATGGGTCGTATGTACTCACGCTTATTCTTATGTTCTTTCTAGAAAGCGCTTGATCTTCCACCTGTGCACATATTTGGGCTGGCTATGGGTTGTTGTGTGGGCCTTGAACTCGCGACAACACATCCGGAATTCGTCCGCTCACTCACGCTTTGTTCACCACTTCCCGCCACAGAAGTATGTGCAACTGGACTTTTTCCTTTCATCGATGTATGTGTTCGCTGATAACGGTGTTTCAGCTTGAGAATATCGCAGCTGGCCGCCTAGAGGTATTTAACCTTTGGGTTGAGGCTTTTGATCATGATGGTCGTGGACCGCCTGGTGGTGACCGTGCCACATTGGAGGACCTCACTCTCGGCATTCAACAGCTTTGCTTCAACAACCAACGGACCAGTCTCAGCGATGCGTAAGTCGCGCTTTGAATCGCGTCAATAAAGATAATTGAGATACTTAAATACTGGCATCGTCTTAGGCTATCAAAAAATTCTCTTTATACAGCAGCGAAAAATCGCGCCGGGTCACCACAAGCAGTGAAAGAGACATATCACGCAACCGTTGGATGGTTCCTGAAGCGGAGACCACAGTCTCGCGAAGCGTTTGCTAGGGTTTGCAATCGTCCTGCTTGATTAATTCTGTGACTTACGAGGATCGTTCGATAGATTCAATGTTCCGTCCGACTGATCCACTGCGAGGACGATGTAGCGTACCCGGTGCAGCATGCAGAGGAGCTGCAAGATCGGTTACGGGACGCAGGGATCACCGACGTCGAGCTCTATGAGGTTCCAGGGCCCCACTATGGTAGTGTTGTGAACCCACAAGCGTAAGTGTTTCATCTCCTTTGCTAAGGTTGTAAATAAATCAGTTCTAAATGTGTCCAGGGTCAACCCGATACTCCTTGAACATGTGCTCTACGCATCCGAAGGTGCCGGGGGCTCTCTGACAAACGGCCACCACAATCACCAGGCACCCACCGAATGCAGAAAGATGACAACTCCCTTCACGAGACGTCTCGCTGGATATGGTTATAATCCCAATGAGGACGAGGACGACTTCGTCGAATGCTGTGTATAAATCTTTTGTCTCATCTTAAAGAAATTATACCTATGCCCAGGCCTTTTTCAGCTCTTTTTGCTGCGACTCGTGTATCTATATATCTGCTTTGTACCCTAAATACCCATATCTTTTGTCGTCGTATATGTATCTTTAGTGTCTTTATGGTACCAAAATTACACATTTGGCTAGAAGTTTTCGAATCGGACAACTCCGGAGCAGCCCTAGCATGTATATATGTACCAATATACACACAATAGGAAAAAATATGAACGTCATAGGGTTCTGAGCCATTGGCGCTCATCGGGAGGAGAACTGTTCCGCTGTGAACCACAAGGTCTCCTGATGGTGGGGGAGTAATGCCGCGATTCTAAGAGGACACATCTCTAACAGTCTTCTGTCTCTCCTGCTCTGCGAGCTGATGGAAGAGTACCTCAGTCTGAGAAATTACTAGCACCGGAAAGGGATATCTTAGGTACCTCTTTGAACTTTTTGGGATTCCAATGGACTCGAACGTAGTCCAGGTCTTCGCGGGGCATCCACCATTCAAGGAAGAGAAAGAAGAGGCAGTCGACGACCAAAATCATAGTGTATATTGGGCCCGCAAAGGGCCCGAGTTGCATAGTTCTGATAGTGTTTGAGCGTGACCATATAAGAATAAAATACAAGAACTTCTCACCGTCGCATGCGCTCCCACAAGTCCATTTGTGGGGACTTGATAACTGCATCATAGACCTTTTCGGTTCGTGCGGCAACATCTTCCCAGTTATAAAAGGTCTTCACGCGTTCGTGCGCCTTTTGTGGATCGTGTTTCCCGGCTGCTACGATGCCAATAGCTTCAGACATGGCGCGAAACACATCTAGAAACCACGAAGATCGATGAGCCTATTACTTACAGCACCCAATGGATATTGAAGACGAACCGTCTTCTTCGGGCTCGGCAAAACTGATCATGTCTTTGGGAAGGATCTCGGGTACACCCCCAACACGTGTAGAAACAACGTACAGGCCGGCACACGCCGCTTCGAGAATGGCGATGCCGAAGGATTCTGTGAGAGAGGTGTTCATAAATATCGCTCCCTTGTGTAGTACCTGGTTATATCCAACGTTGTGAGACGCTGCACACACAAGATGGCTTCAAGACCTACGGATCGGACGTCACTATGTCGAACAGGCCCAAGGAGCTCGATGCGATCTTGAAGCAGGTGTTTCTCCCGCATCTGCAGGAGATCAATGAGTTTGGGTCCATCGCCACCTTGTTTGTTTGTTGTTTCTTTCGTGCTCTCTATTGAGGTAGAATAAGGTCTTACCAACTACGAAACGGACGGTGGGGAAAGCAGCGCATATTCTGGGCGCAGTTGCAACAAGTAGATCAATGCCCTTGCGGTAAGCCAAGCGAGACAACACAACAATTGTGACTGTTTGTAAACGTCAGAGACGACTCAAGTAATATGGGACACAGGACTTACTGATATCAGTGGGCTTTGGTGGAACTGGCTTGAAATTGTCTGCGATGAGAGCGTTGGGGATGACATAGACATTTTGGCGCACGACCAGCTTGGAAGAATCTTGAGGGTCTGGCTCAAAGAGTTCACCACGTAGAACTGTGTTTTCACGTCTGACACAACAGTCAAGAAAGGAATGGTTAGTGTTAAATAGGTTGTACACCCACCCTGTGTGAGAGACACAGATAACTGCGTCAACGTTCTTGAGTGTCCCAACAAGCAGCTTGTTCGTCAAGATACTTGCCGCATCTTCAAAACCAAATAGACTATGGTCCGTGAAAACGGTACGAATTCCCATCAAGTGGGAGTGCAAGATACCCTCATGACCAATAGAAGAGAGACTGGCATGGGCATGGATCAGGTGGATGTGCTCTCTTAGAAGAATCGTTCGAAGGTATGGCAGCGAAGTGAAAAAGTTTGGAAGAGTAGCTGATGACGCGATAGGAAGAAAAGGAAGGTAATAGATCTTGAGCGATGGGAGTAACCAACGGACACCAACGCGATCAGGAGCGTGACTATGTGTTATTACAATGACCTTTTGAACTGTTATTTGCTCATCTTGCCGAAAGTTGGCGAACAAGACGTACTTTGTGACCTCTCTGTATCAACGTCGCGCTCAGCATGTAGATGTGGTTCTCAACCCCGCCAACATCGGGATGGAAGAAGTCTGAGATCATTCTAAGACGCACAGTGATCCATTGAGCTCTTTGCGCACATTCTAGATCTGGGACACCCACGCAATAGATACCGGGTGCATCGTGAACTATTCAGCGAATTGTAGCCGCACCTGACCAACTTGCTCAAGGGAGAGGTAGATGTCGCATTCCTTTTGGCTCCTCTTGGTGTGGGTCGTAGAGATAAGGTCGTCGGTGTCGCTGTTGTCGCCAGCCGTCGTTAGCGTTCAAACGTATCGACGGCTCCTTCCGAAAAGGGAAAAGGTTTCCGCTCGGTCATTTACATAAGTCGGTCCGCCGACGGCCCGATTGCCTATCGACTTCATATGTCATCTACATACCATTTTCCCATTCCGAGAGGCTCAAATCTCTTGACATCGACCCTTCACCATAATGGCCTTAGGAAATCAGAAAAAGAATATTGTAGTGCTTGGCGCTGGTAAGTCTCGTCATCTGCTTGAACGTCAATTCAATTGATAGGAGTGTCTGTCAGGTGTGGTAGGTTTGACCACTGCAGTCAAGATTCAAGAAACTGGAAAGTATAACGTGTCGATCCTGGCCGACGTGCTGCCTACGGACCAGAAAACGACCAAGTATACCAGTCATTGGGCCGTAAGATCCTATCTATTCATCTGTTTTTCCGAATGAGTGATCAAGCTCCTTGGCGGAAATTAGGGTGCTCATCAT